TCATCATGAAGGCGATTTTTGTACTATTGTCATATTTCATTTTCATTTTGTTTGCATTTCATGTCTTGTGTAGGGAGCGCGACAGGAGTCATGGACCATCGGCATGATTATGCATGTCCCATTCACCCTTATGCGTGCGGATTCCGTGGTTCGGGAGGCGATACCTAAAACGACCCGTGGATGACCGTCGTCCCCTTCTTTGACAAGCCTATCGATGCGTGGTCTGAGGCAGAATGGGATAGAGCCATCTTGGCAAGGAAATGTCCATGGCATAAGAACTACAAATTTGCTTTCGCGATGGAGTGGGGAAGTCTGATCAAAGTACCTCATTATGCCATTGGTGTCAGGCAACTTCCGTCCCTGCGCGCCGCGCTCAGGCAGGAAGAGAATAACCAGTTTTACCTTCGCCTGGACAACGTAACGAGGTCACCTCAGGTGTGGTCTGCAGACTTGAAACAAGAGTTGTTGGACTGTGCATCCTACAATCCGTTTTTGGAATTATATCCGTTGCGTGGTGCCGGATTACAGCCAAAAGATGTGTCATATTGTTGCATACGGTTGTCTGTGGCCGGTTCCGACTTCTGCAGAGTGTTGTGTGTGGCATGTTCAAACCGAAAGCGGACTTTGGTGGACGTTGTAGTGCTAGTTTCTTGCAACCACCTTGGAATCTATGGTCGCAACATGGGGAATTTGCGCCTTCTGTACGAGAACGGACAATCCGATTTGGAGATTGCAAGTCGAATTGATGAGGTTCATAAGTGGCATGAGGTAGAGCAAGTGACATGTTGTGTGCGTGACGCCATCGGTAAGTCCTTGGCAGGTGCCTGTAGGTTTGTAAGGATGAAGTACATTTCGGTGTTCTCGAGGGTGACGACGAAGGGACAGCCACAAACCCTTGTTTATACGGGTTTGGTTGTAAAGGGATGCGAGGACATCGGTCGGAACTTCAAATTTTGTAAATGATAGCGTTTTAGAAAGTTTACATTGTTGCGGCTCGTAGCATTTAATTTAGACGTAGTTCAATGTACATCTGGCCTGTAACATTTAATGTAGACGTACTTCAATCTTGCATTTGCGATTTCTTGCATGTGTCGGTACAATTTTGAACTTTAATTACCGATACAATTTTTGACTTTTAATTTTTCATGGGTACGACATTTCTTGAAGTGAGACAAAATTTATGATACTTACGTAAATTTCAGTTTCATATGACAATGTCATATCGGATTTTGATTTTTTGTCACAGTGCGTCGGAATCCATACATAAACCATCTAGTTTCGCCTTCACACAATGTCATGTGTAGTACGTCTGATTTAAGTGCATTTCAATGTATAACAATGACATGTGAGTTTTGTCTTTAAAGTCACATAAATTGTCGAAGTGTGATAGAGTCCAAAATTATTGAAGTGTCACAGTGTTGGAATCCATCCTTAAATCACACCGAATAGACTGAGTGTCACGTCTTTTAATAGGTATGTAGTACATAAATTATCGAAGTGTAGTGAAACCCATAATCACTGTACTTAAATCGTAATCTCGTTTGTCGTGTGATTCGTTTATTGTGTGATTCGTTAAACTTTATCGTGATTAGTATATATTTAATAGAGTTAAAGCAAAAATTATCGAAGTGCGACGGAATCCATACTAGACTATTAGTACTTAAACCATCCGTGTGTTTGCCGTAAATGTCCCACTTCGATTGAGTTTCAATAAATTAAGGGAAGTCACAATGTCATCTAAAAAATGTCCGACTCAATGCTGACACAAAATTGAGCAAGGTGTAAAGAAATCGAGAGTTCAACAATTCATGTTGTAACCGTAACGGCTTTTAAGTTACAAAATTGATGGAAGTGCAATGAAATCCACACTTAATCCATCATGATCAGTACATTTTGATAGCGTTTTAGAAAGTACATTTTGATGAGGTTCTAAATTGATGGAAGTGCAATGGAATCCACACTTAATCCATCATGATCAGTAAGTGATTGCCTTGAATCTCCAGTTTAGATTCAATTTATGGCCTCTCAATTGCATTCTTCGGGTTCCTAAGTTCCATTCAAGTCCAAAATATAGCGATTTTAACATGAAATTAATAGCGTGCGAGTACGAATTTGAAATATAATGTCCTATTTTAACGGATAACATGTTGACTTCAACGAAGAAGTCTTCTAAGAGGGAAATAGGCAGGCGGTAGGTAGGATCACATGTGTTTCATTCGCTCTGCCAGCGCATTGCGGAGCGTGTGTGCCGCGTGCGTCGAAGTCAACATCGTCACTGGCTGCGAGGGATGATGAATTCCCAGGTCCACTCGGCGCCTCACCCCGTTTTCGTCGACCTCCCACAACAGATTATCGCCGAACTCGATACCGGCGTCGAGCAGGATGTTGTGGAGAATGCAGACGACCGTGAACTGTTGCGGTAGAGTGTCAAGGTTCGTCTTGTGCGTCCGCAGGAAGAACCTCCACATCCCATTCAACCTCCCGAACGCCCTCTCCACAGCCCCTCTTGCGACCTTTTGCTTCGTGTCGAACCTTTCCTCGTCTGAGTGCTGATTGATTCCACCATATGGAACCACCACCCATTCAGAAGGAGGATATCCGTTCTCGCCCAAGATGTATCCGTTCGTCCTCACCCCTAGCCAGCAGCGTGACAGGCGGCCCACGAAACAACATTCCCTCTTCCGCGCGCCTGGACAGACTTGACAGCTGGATCACCCTAATGTCGTGGCAGCTCCCCGGATATGCAACGAACTTGTCAAGCACGCGCAGATCCAGGTCCACCACCACGTGTGCAATGACGGAGAAACGGTGCTTGGGTCGAAGTAATTCTCGCTCGGCGCGTTCGCGGGTTTGTCCACGTAGATGTGTGTGCAGTCAACTGCGCCATGGCAGTTGGGAAAACCCTTGTCCAGAAACGCCCGTAGCACGACGTGTTTCTGCACCCCCGTCGGCCACGATATCTTGTCCCCGTACACCCTCACATAGCGCTTGTCACATCACGAACGGCTCGAACTCCGGAAGCCCTGCCCATGCCGAAGGATGATGTGTTGTTGTCGTATGAATCTCCTGTAGCCCACCTGTATAGCGAGTACGCGACAATCTGCTCCGGCTGAAGTGGCTCCCTGTAAAACGTCACCTGTCGTTGCAAATGAGCCACACAGGCTTCGGTGATCTCCATGAACACTCTCCTGGACATGCGGAGCTTTTCCCGGAAGTAGTCGTCTGTCGCGCCATCGCACACCCGCAAATCCTCCCAAGTCCCGCCAGCTCTCCTCCTCATCCACCAACGAGGCGTCGCCCGAGGAAGCACACCACACCCGATAGCAGCGCACAGCTGAACCACGGCCTCCGAAGTGGTAATGCAGTCCGGGGCGTCCAACACCCTCTGCAGCAGAAGCCTCTGCCGCTGCCTAGAAAGCGTTGCCTTCATGCGCCCGGCCGCCCTCTTGACTGGGAATCGACGGACAACGGCAACCGCAGCCGCCGCAACAACTGTCTTCTCCGTCCTCGACAGCACAGCACGACCCTCCTCATTGCAGCCCTCCATTACGCCCTTCCAACTCGAAAAACAACGTCCACCGCCACCCACCTGCGTCTACGTCTGCCACCACGATTGAAGACGCCTGCAATCACGTCAGGAAGACAACCGTGTTCAACGATGTTCCACCCCGATTGGAGCGTCCGCCCACCTCCGCTGAAGTACGGAACCGCCGCGCGCCTCCACGTGGCGAGCGCAACTGCCGACACCCCTCCTCGTTTCGCTGCATCCACCACACTTGAGACAGTGGCGGTGTGGCGCGCTGAAGTACGCAACGCGATGGCAACCGAAACCCTGCGCGGTGTGCACTGCCCCCCCTCGCCTATCCCGCCTGTGCGCCGCCACACCGTCTCTCCGCAAGACGCAAATTCGAATTTCGAATTTCAAACGGGCCGTTCCTGCGTTGGCGATTTTCTTTTCCAGGGCCCGTGACATATTGCCGTCGTCCGCCTGCTGGACCACCATGCCTCCTACACGGACATCCCGAATCGGAGGTCGGACAATCCCCTCGCGGCCGTGTATAATCTAATGAAACTGGCCGCGGGAGGGCCCCGAGGATTCGTCCTTGGGGCTATTCTCGGAGGACAGGTGGAACAACACCCCTCGCGGCCGTGTATAATCTAATGAAACTGGCCGCGGGAGGGCCCGAGGATTCGTCCTTGGGGCTATTCTCGGAGGACAGGTGGAACAACACCTCCAAAAAATAAAAAAAAACTCCTAGGATTCGTCCTCCGAGCCCGAGAACGCCCTGAGGAGTGTCGAACGACGCCCACAGAAAAATTTACACGCAGGAATCTGCTCGGGTGGATAAAGGAAGTGCTGACCAACCGATCATAGCTCAGTTGGTCGAGGGGGCGGAGGACTGGGGCGAGGTCCCACTAGCAAAGAGGATTGGATTGAACACCTGAATCTGGACTTCTTTGTGGAAAGGTGCAGAATGTCGAGGTTGAACTGCTTTTCCGAATCTCTGCTTAAAACACGTCCAAATTCAGGATATTTATCCAACCCTCTTTGCTAGTGGGACTGTAGTAGGAAAAACAGATGGAAAGGAAGTGCTGAGTGTTTATTTCTTTTTCAGGAAAAAAAAAAAGACACGGAGAAGACGACGTTTAGGATGGACGACTGCAAAAAGAAAAAAAAACAAGAAGACGATAGAGCAGAAGATAGAGAAGAAGAAAGAAGAGGAAGGGTAGTGGGAGGAGGGGCTGGAAAGAGATTGGGAGGGGGGAGAAGAGGCGGAGGAGGAGGAGAAGGAGAAGAAGGAGAAGAAGACGATAAGCAATGGCCAAGTTGCTTTTCACACCCAATAGAATAACTTCATTCTTTACAAGCGTGTACACTGCTCAAAACCGCGCACGAGAAGCATAAGCAAGGAGGGGAGGAGAGAACGAGAGGACGGTTGTGAGGAGGAGACGATGAAGAAGGTGAAAAATTGACCGATCACGGCTACAAAGGTGGATAGCGGGAGGAGCAGCAGCAGGAGGAGGAGGAGGAGGAGGAGGAGAAGGAGGAGAAAGGGAGGAGGGGGAGGAGGAGAAAGGGAGGAGGGGGAGGAGGAGGAGGAAGGGCGAAGAAGGAACATAGGGGTGAGATGACGAACGAGTATGCAGGCAAGAAACTGGGCTGCAAAGGAGGAGGAGGAGGAGAGGGTGGAGCAGAAGGCGGAGGGGAGACAGGCGGATGCAGAGTAGTAGTAGTAGCAGGAGGCGGAAGGGAAGGACGATTGGGAGAAGGAGGGGAAGGACTAGCTCGAGGAGGAGAAAGGACGAAGGGAGTCCAGACAGGTGAGATGATGAGCAGGGATTCGGGCGAGGAAGTAGGCTGCAAAGGACGAGGAGGAGGAGGAGGAGGCGGAAAAGGAGAAGGAGAAGGGGGAGGAGGAGGAGAAAAAGGAGGAGGGGGAGGAGGGGAAGGAGGAGGGGGAGGAGGAGGAGAAAAAGGAGGAGGGGGAGGAGGGGAAGGAGGAGGCGCTTGCAGTTTTCCGATCCGTGGCATTCCGACCAATTTGTTGGATCGATGGGGTCATTCGGCCGTGTTTGCGGAGAGGGGGGCTCACGGTCCTTGTATCCTTGTGTTTGGGGGATTTGCGAGGGAGAAGGGGAGGGCAGATTCTAGGTCGGCGGATCTGATCATCATAGATCTCAAGGATCGGACGGCGAAGAGGGTCGTCCCTGAAGGAGGAGTAGAGGGCCAGCAAGCACTGATTTGGCCCTGCAGTCGTGTCTTACACACAGCGGATTTCGTAAAAGAATTGGGACAGATGGTGTTGATTGGAGGGAGAAAGGGACCTACCTCTCCTCTAAGCGATGTGTATGTCCTCCACGTGGACACCTTGACATGGGTCTACGGAGGGCACATCCCTGCTGACGTGGCATGTGAAAGGGATGGCACGACGTCCGCCGCACGATTCCGCCACGCGTCGTCTGTAGCCGGATCGGGAGTGTACATTTTTGGCGGGAAAACTTCCGGAGATCGAGCCCTTAATGACCTCTTGAGACTGGATGTCGGGACGATGACGTGGCAACGTGTCAGCGTGCACGGTAGAGAAGAAGTCCCTTTGCCCCGCCACTCCCATTCCCTCGCGTCGATCGATACCAGGTTGTTCCTGTTTGGAGGGAAGGCAGAGGACGGATCGCTGCTGAATGATCTGTATATGATGGACGTCGGACAGCGCGCCACGTCAGCAATGCTTACGTGGCAGAGAGTGACGTGGCAGCACTCCTGCGACGTCCCGCCGCCGCCATCGCCGAGAATGTCGCACACCATGTTAACTGTGGAGCCTAATCTGTTGATAGTATTGGGAGGGTGCCCAGTCAGGGAGGGGATTAGGGGTGGGGGATTATGCCACGTGTTCAACGCGCGAACCAGCAGATGGTCACATGGGTTTCCGAATGGAGGTGATGGGGTTCCACGTGGCGCTCTCTGGGTCCGCCACACTGCGACTTTGCTTCCAGAAAACGGCCATGGAGAAAGGCACATTGTGGTGTTGGGTGGAGGGGCTGCCTGCTTTGCATTTGGCACTTTTTTCAGCCCTCCATTCGTGATTACTGTCGGTGGCAAAAGGAAGACACAGGAGGAGGAGGAGGAGGAGGAGGAGGGGGAGAAAGAGGAAGAAAGAGATGAGGAACATTGTGGTGCGGTAAGCTCGCTGGCAGAGGACAGGCTGTGGGGAGGAGGGGGTTTTGGAAACTCGGTATCAGCTCACCAGCACGGCTATGGCCGATCGGACAAGTTGGGGGAAGGAGAGGCAAGCGCTGAGAGATGGCGGACGCCTCGTGCGGATGCCAGAGGAGGAAGAGAGATTGAGAGAGCTCCCTCTTCTATGGATAAGGGGGGAGAAGAGAGAAAGGAGGAGAGATTAATCGACCAAGTTCAAATGACTGTAGTAGTTGGGACAGAGGTGGTTGATGATGCCCACGTGGCGTCAAGGGCGTGGACCACCAAACTACTCCCCACGGCAGCTAGAGCCTCCGACTGCACTGTCGGGATCCAGATCGGGATGGAACAACCTCCGTGGGGTAAGGGAGGGGAATCGCTGTCCGAGGCTGGGTGCAAAGAGGATAAGGAGGAGGATGAGGAGGAGGAGGATGAGGAGGATGGGGAGGAGGAAGAGGAGGAGGAAGAGGAGAAGGAGGAGGAGGAAGAGGAGGAGGAGGAGAAGGAGGAGAAGGAGGAGAAGGAGGGTCCAAGGGAGTGGGCATGGGTTTTGGTTGTCCCCAGGAAAGAGGGGAAAGGTTGTAAAGACGCTTTGAAGCTGAGGGGTTGGCTAGATGAGAAGCGGAGAGTGGGTGCTGAAGGGGGGGGGGAGAGGATCGTCCTCCCTGTCACGAGTGAGGGGGCAGAATACTGGTTAATAGATCTCCGCCAGCGAGAGCACGAGGGAGTCGAAAGAAGGGAGGCAGAAGGGAAAGAAAAGGAAGAGGAACTGGTACAAGGGAGAGAGAGGGAACACAAGTCTGCAGCGGCAGTAGCAGAGGGTCGAGGAGCCGAGCTACCGCTCCCTTTGCGTTTCTTCTCCTGTTGTCTTGAGGATAGAGAACAAGGTAAGAGGGACAAGAGAGGACAAGGCAAGGACAAAGAAGTCATCGCAGATGAGTACGGGTTAAAATTAGTCGAAGTTGAAAAGGGGTTGCAGAGGGGGGGGGTAAGAGGAACTAATCCTCACGAAAGGATGAAGGTAGATTTGGCAGAAGCGTTAAGGAGAAGGGGTATGGATGCAAAACCGGCTTTTTCGGACGGCCCGTGCGGAATCCCGACAAAATGGGAGAGACTTGGGGACATGGTGATCCTCCCAGCCGGTTCCTTCAAGTCCCAAGGCTGGAGAGCCTTGGGACAAGAGCTGTGGGACATTGTTGCCAAGTGTCTAAGGGCCCAAAGGGTGGCTATACAAGCTCGTATTGCTGCTAATTTGACAAGGGATAGCAATGTAGAACTGGTCCTAGGGGGTAATGGATGGGTGAGGCATCGGGAGAACGGCATTATATACGAGTTCGACGTAACGGAGTGCATGTTTTCCTCTGGCAATGTGACGGAGAAACACCGCATTGCTAACTTAGACTGCAGAGGAGAGACGATCGTAGACCTCTTCGCTGGCATTGGCTACTTTGTGCTTCCGTATCTGGTAAAGGCGGGAGCTTCGCAGGTCTATGCTTGTGAGATGAACCCTCGTTCTATTCGAGCATTAAGAGCTAGTTTGAAAGCCAATGGGGTGTCACACAGATGTGTGGTTCTAGAGGGCGACAACAGAAGGGTGGCTCCCATTGGTGTCGCTCATAGAGTGAATCTAGGACTCCTACCCTCAAGTGAACTCAGTTGGGAGACAGCTGTGCGTTGCCTTAGACCTAAGGAGGGGGGGATTCTGCATATCCATGGCAATGCCTTGGACAAAGAGGAGGAACAATGGGCTCGATCCGTCGTCACGAAGATAACCCACATTGCTCGATCCTTAGGACGACAGCATTGGCATGTCCGGCTAGTGCATTTGGAGAGGGTTAAGTGGTATGCTCCTCACATTCGACACTTGGTTGCTGACCTGGACTGCAGATCTCCTCCTGCCCCCTTAGACCTTCCTTGATTCGTCATCATTTTATTTTATTTTTTTCTGGAAAAAAACAGAACAAAACAAAACCTAGGGGCTTGATTTGTCATCATTGTCTGATCTGCGGAAGACAGAATCTGGGAGACTTGGAGCACCTAGCAGGGGTCCAGTAGAGGGGGGAGCTTTTATCACCCTCTCTAGTGGCTCGGGCTTGGCTTAAAAAAAAAAAAAAAAAAAAAAAAAAGAATCTGGGCAATCTCTGAATAATACACGTGGCAATGCTTCTTGAACTGTCTGGCCGGACATGGAATCTTCCTTTTTTTTTTTAAATAGACGTGATTGCTGACGTGGAGTGCAGGTCTCTCCTCCCGTAGATGTTCCCTGACGGATTGTTATCAGTCCGTTAATGAAATACAAAGCATCTGGATACTGTGGGATATGACACGTGGCATTGCATGAATGGTCTGGCATGGGAGTTCGGCTGGTGCATTTGGAAAAGACTCAGGGCGTACTCACACACACTAGCACTGTCTTAAATGAATCTGACCGTATTTACGGCCGCACGTGGATGTATGTGACTGCAATTTACGTTCAAAAATTGTAAAAAGGTTCTCGTGTTAGTATGCCCTCAGTGTCAAGTGGTACGTTCCTCACATATTATGACACGTGGAGTGCAGGTCTCCCTCAGGGCCTACCCGATCCACCAACATTTTGAATGTTTCTGGACGCCGTCCTGTCCGGGTGCATTCAAAATCTTGGCGGATGGCGAGGGATGCAACCACGGACCTTCCCCTGATTCACCACCGGATGAACGGAACATAGAACCTGGACAATCTGGGAATACGACACGTGGCATCTTGTGAATGGTCTGCCTTACTGTACTGTCTGAGACGGGCGGCAGTCGCTGACCTGGGTTCCAGCCGCAGCACCGGCTACACAACAACTGCAGCTGGGTTCACAAATTTTGTCCTTTTTTTTTTATGGTTTTACTGCAAGCAGAATGTCACCTTTGGAAATTCCGGCGTGGGACAGAGACTCAACAGCACTTGAGAGATCCCACAGAAGCCACCAGGATTGCTCCCTCTCCCCTCAAAAATACAACCCCCTGTCCCTCCGTTGCTTCCGCCCGGAGGAACCCCCTTTTCTCCTCGCCAGCCCCAGTTCAGAACAGCCCGCTGAACGGACACCCCTACTTCCTCAGCGGCGTGCAATTCCCCCAAGAGCATGCCCCTGCAGAGCGGAAGTTCCCACCGCCCACCTGTCCCACTCCCTCCAGGTAAGACAGCCTGCCCCAACACTCACCCTGCTCAAACAGCAGCAACCCCTTGTCCCCTCTGCCCTGACCGCCGAAGCTGATCCAGCCCTAAATCAGCCCAGCTCCAGAGAGGGAAAACCCTCCTTACTGCACCACCCCTCGAAAACATTGTACGGACTCCGCCATAGTTTCCCTGCGAAAGAAACAATATCCATAGCATGCATCATTGATGGCGATGAGTGCGTCCGGGCGCACCGGGTCATGGGGAAGTATCATATCTAGGGGCCCCACTTTCAACCCAGCTGACTTTTAGCCTATTGGAAAGGTGTTTGCCTGGCATGGAAAAGGTTGCATGTTCAATGAGGCTGTTGTGGCTTGTCTGTGGGTGTGGTGGGTCTGTTTCATCAAAAGTGTTGCATAGGAACCCTCTGTGATTCTTTCTTTTTTGGGGGGGGAAGCTTTCATTTCTGTATAAATTATTAGTTCGATGGGTGGTTTGGTTGTTTTTTTCTTTGGCCTCTGGTAAACTCAGAGCAGTGGGGGTGGTATGATGGAAGAGGTGCTGGGGTCTAGGATGTTGGAGGCAGGCCTGCTGAGGGGTGTTGGGTGCAAGGGGGCAGACCCCCTGAATCCCCTGCAATTGGATGGCTTCCTCCTGAAGCCCCTGTGTGCATTGTCGATGACAATCGAGGGCAGACCAGGGACAGGGAACACATTACGTGCGGTGACACGCGTGGGAAGAGTGGGGGGAAAGGGGGGAATTGGGTGGGGTCTCGAGTGCACCAGCAGGAAGAGATGGAGCTCGAAGATTACAACAATCTGGGGGACTGCAACATATTTGCATTCAGGATAGCAAGTGCCGCAGGCGCGAGTTTCTGCGCGGGTACATTGCTGGGTGCAATTGCTGCCACGTGGCAGGATGGTCCCGTTGTCGAGCGCATCGGCCCCCGCCTTTTCTCGTGAAAGGGGCGGGAGCCCTCCCGGCCATGTCACGCAGGAGTTAAAATAGAAACCATAGAGACAACTTGGGGAGGCCGCATAATTAATCCCGCGGACCGCCGAGACGATCGCGGTCGCGTCGTCCCTTCGCCGCTCTAGGCGGGTGCGCCAGCTGTACATCCCGCGGTCCCCTACTACAAGACAGGTTCTCGCGGGGCATAAACTTGCCTTCCCTAAGGGGCTGTCACCACCCTTAGGGGCGTATCCCTACCGAGCTACCGACCCACGTGCGAAAGCTTTTACATGCAATTGCAGAGGTGGGTCGGCCGAGGGCGTTTGCTCGCTCGCTGTAGTATAGGTGCGCGCGATTAAAACGCCTATTGAACCCGGACGTCGTCCGTTCCTTAGGGCACTGATCTCCTGAGTACGAAGCGTACGCCGGTCGACTAGGGCGGTCTCAACCAAGCGTGAAACCCAATTATTTATCCTAGTCCCTTAGACACATCGTCAAACAAAATTTCTAACAACCATACATAATTACACAAAAAAAAGAGTTGACCACAACTGATAAGAATATACATCCAATCTAGATTAATAACTGGGAGAATTCAAATCATCATTTGATACATTTAACAACACAAGATCAAAAACAATCTGACCGCCTAAGGTCGAATATCACAAAACAACCATACAACCGCCAACAAGAAGTTGACTATCAACAATAACACTGAGGCAGCCGATAAGGTAATCGGTTGCCTTAGTTTTGACTTGATGAGATGCGTTGCCAAAGTTATTCATTTTGTCCTACCGCCGACCTAAGATTGAACACGCACACACTCGTCTGCATATGTTCTTAATCTTCTTGGATGACAGCTGTTTTGTAGATGGTTTTTGATCAGGGGCGTTGCTTGAGGTATTGCATGCCTCTCCCTCTAGGATGTGGTCTGGGATACTCCTCCTCCTCGCCCGAACACAAGACTCGGATCTCAGAAGTCGGGCCGTCTCCACCGAATCGGCAAAGTACCTACCCGTAGAACGGTCCACTCTGGGTCGATAACAGGGTCGACTCCTAAGGGAACGAGCCCCCGCCCCAGATGCTTCCTTGAAAGATGAGCATGTGTTCACCACAAGCAGGTTTTAACTGTTCCCGTTTTCTTTTTCGTAAGCTCAGAGTACCTTACACGAGAAAGAGATAGAGGTGATAAAAGAGAAAACATTTGGACAGGTATAGGTCGATAAGGTCTTTCGGGATAGAATGGGTCAATCTTTGGGAAAAAGACCAAGTCCGATTTGACCTTATCTACTTTCTTTCAATCGAATTCGTTTCTACAGTACTGACATTGCATAATTAACATTTTCAAAACAAGGAAATCTTCTTGACGTTCAGGCAGGTGAGAAGTAAAAAGAAGATAATCATTTTTCCTTTCCTCAAATAGGCATGATCAATCTTCTTTGCAAGCACCCTTCTACCTACCTGCACAACACACATAAAACATAATAAAAAAAAGACGAGCAAAGTCTCACTACTCATGTCAGACCCACCTTTTCACTCATGCATGACGCCCACTACCTCACTCAACCTTTTATCCTGAACATTCAAAGCAAAACGGTCAAGCAATGTGTGGGTGCACACAGGTGTGAAGGGAGTCTGAGTCATTCACTAACTGACCACTGACCACTGACCACTGACCTTGAATGAAGTTGTACGGCACACTCAAGAAGGCCGTATAGAATTACGTTCTTTCATTACGAGAAGGTAGTCGTCCCCAGTCGTTAACAAAGTGATCGACACCACTCTCTTGCTGCAACCACCTGCCACAACACCCCCTCACTTATTTTTCCGTAAGTGTCGCTGCCAATTGCTTCCGCTGCCACCGCTTTACTGCGCCGTCAAGTCCACATTACCTCAAAATACACCACTCTAGCAGCACCTTCACTGTGCCAATGCCCAATTGCCGCTCAATGCAAAAAAAAAAAAAAACTTTCATCACCGCAGTAAATCTTGTGTCGTCGTTGTGAAAAAAATCGGCAGCGCTTCCGTACTACCGTCGTCAAACTCAGTGCCGCTGCCACAAAAATTCTACAGCGCTTCCGCAAAAATTCGGCAGCGCTTCCGCCGTCAAACTTAGTGTCGCCGCTGCAAAAATTCGGCATCGCTTCCGCACCACCGCCGTCAAACTTAGCGCCGCTGCCGCAAAAATTCGGCAGCCTTTTCGCACCACCGCCGTCAAACTTAGTGCTGCCGCTGCAAAAATTTGCCAGCGCTTCCGTACCTCCGCCGTCAAACTTAGTGTCGCTGCCGCAAAAATTCGGCAGCGCTTCCGCACCACCGCCGTCAAACTTAGTGCCGCCGCTGCAAAAATTCAGCAGCGCTTCCGCACCTCCGCCGTCAAACTTAGTGCCGCTGCCGCAAAAATTCGACAGCGCTTTCGCACTACCGCCGTCAAACTTAGTGCCGCTACCACAAAAATTCGGTAGCGCTTTCGCACCACTGCCGTAGAACCTGCGTCGCCGCCGCAAAAGTTCGGCAACACTTCCGTACCACTGCCGTAGAACCTGCGTCGATGCCGCTCTGCCGCTGTAAAATTTTGGCAGCACTTCCCCACCGTAGTGGAAAAATGGCAAGCCAAAATTAATAAAATTTAAGCCCCAGGCCCAAATTTCACTTTGCTGCATTGCCGTAGCCCTGTAGAGTCCCTGGGTCCGTCCCATGGGACCAGCACCAGCCAGAGGGGAGGGGATTAAAGTGCTCCCTCCCTTGGCTAT